GCAATTAAGTTAGTATTTGATGATTAAATTTTCTTTTTAATTATTTATAACGGCTAAATTTGATATACAACTCGATGTCTCTACAAAATCATCACATTTTTAGAAAATTACAAAATATTTATAATTTTTTAAAGGTGGAAATATTTTCCAAAATTGATAGTGTTGTTTTTAAGCAATATTTTAAATACCATTTTAGAAAGAAAAAATCTCTAAAGCACCCTTTATATATATAAACTTATTAGGTAAAGAGTACTAGGGAAAGTTGTCCACCTTTTATAGAAAAAACATATATCATTTAATAAAATATTTTGATATAAATTACTTTTAATATTTAATTATATTACTCATTTTAACTATTTGACATGATTAAGCAATTAAGTTAGTATTTGATAATTAAATTTTCTCTTTAATTATTTATAACGGCTAAATATGATATACAGCTCTATGTCTCTACAAAATCATCACATTTTTAGAAAATTACAAAATAATTATAATTTCTTTAAAGGTGAAAATATTTTCCAAAATTGATAGTGTTGTTTTAAGCAATATTTTAAATACCATTTTAGAAAGAAAAATCTCTAAAGCACCCTTTATATATATAAACTTATTAGGTAAAGAGTACAAGGGAAAGTTGTCCACCTTTTATAGAAAAAAAAGGTATATTATTTAATAAAAGATTTAAATATAAATTACTTTTTACGTCAATATTTAATTATATTACTCATCTTAACTATTTGACATGATTAAGCAATTAAGTTAGTATTTTTTTTTTCTCTTTAATTATTTATAACGGCTAAATTTAATATACAGCTCAATGTCTCTACAAAATCATCACATTTTTAGAAAATTACAAAATATTTATAATTTTTTTAAATGTGAAAATATTTTCCAAAATTGATAGTGTTGTTTTAAGCAATATTATTTTAAATACCATTTTAGAAAGAAAAATCTCTAAAGCACCCTTTATATATATAAACTTATTAGGTAAAGAGTACTAGGGAAAGTTGTCCACTTTTTATAGGGAAAAAATAATAATAATTTTAAAGCAAGCAACCAAAATGCCAAATCTGCATGTATATTTTTAATTTTATCATTTGATTAATATTATTGACAAATTTTGTCAACTTAACGTTGTGCAAATAATATGTAAATATTACAAATAATGTGCCTTAGGAAGAAAAATAATACGTATATATGGCACTTTTTGACAAAGCTTATTTAAGAACTTATATTTATTTTAAGCTATTAATAAGATATGAGACTAATTGGATGGTTACAAAATGAGCTATATGGGGTTATTTATACTTATTCTACCCCTCAACGGTGGAGATCTACATGATCGCATGACTATGACTATATCTCTAAAATTCTTCCTAAAATTCTATACAATTATATGAGTTCTATAATGTTTTATAAGATTCTATAAATCTCTACACTAATATATATATATATATATATATATATATATATATATATATATATATATATATATATATATATAGGGAAGGGATCAGGTGCATTTGCGGCTTCCCGTGCGGATATGAGGTGGATTAATGTGCGTGAGGTTTATACTTAATGTGCGTGAGATTTGTACTCAATGTGCCTGAGATTTGTACTTAATGTGTGTCATGTTAATATGCGTGAGTTTTGTACTTAATGTGCCTGAGTATTGTGTTTAATGTGCGTGAGATTTGTGCTTAATGTGCATGAGTATTTCAGAATTACGAGCTCAGAAGAAAGCAGAACAGAAACTCACGCACATTAACGCCCAAGCTTCTTGTTACTTCTTCCTTCAATTTGGCCATGGATTCTAGATTATCAGCTACCTTCAGTGCAGTTGAATGTGTATATAGATGACGCACGCACAGTAAAATTTGCACAGCAGCTAAGTGTGGATTTCTGTTGTATTATTCCCATAATTCTTAACCACCACAGCCCGCCTTCGCATCATCATCATCAGGGAGGGGGCAATGGCTACTGGGGATGGGGAAGAAGCTGACATCAATATTTTCTGTTGCATTTTACACATTCACGCACATTAAGTACAAATCTCAGGCATATTAAGCACAACACTCACGCACATTGAGTACAAATCTCACGCACATCCGCACGGGAAGCATTCATCCACACGAGAACCTTTCACTATATATATATATATATATATATATATATATATATATATATATGTGTGTGTGTGTGTGTGTGTGTGTGTGTGTGTGTGTGTGTGTGTGTGTGTGTGTGTGTGTGTGTGTGTGTGTGTGTGTGTGTTTCAATCGTGCACATTCTTCTATTCGAAGTTGTATTGAGGGGTCGTTTGCTGGAGTATTGAAGAAAAGATGGAAGTTGTTGGGAAAATCAAAGATGAAAGCAATCGTATGCGTTGGTATAGATCTTGCTTTGTCCAAAATATAACATTTTATGTGGCTGCCGTTTTTCACTCAAAATGAGTGAATCTCATTTATTGAGAATGAGGCGTGTAGCTTCTCTTTTGGACATTGGT